TTTTTAAATTTATACTGTCTAATAAATGTAGTGGTGTCTCATCATGGTTTTAATTTGTATTTGCCTAATTGCTAATGTGGGAGCTCTTGTAGCATAGTGCCTAAGGCACTTGACTGCTAACCAGAAGGCTGGCAGTTCAAACCCACCAGCCACTTCTTGGAAGGAAGGTTGGGCAATCTACTTCTGTAGAGAAATACCGCCTTGGCAACCCAAGGAGAGGTTGCTATGAGTCAGGTCCAACTCAATGGCACATAACAACAACAACAATTGCTAATATGAAAGCTGGACAATGAATAAGGAAGATCGAAGAAGAATTGTTGCATTTGAATTGTGGTGTTGGCAAAGAATACTGAAAATACCACAGACTGCCAGAAGAATGAACAAATGTCTCTTGGAAGAGGTATGGCTGGAATGTTCGTTGGAAGCTAGAATGGCCATACTTCATTTCACATACTTTGATCATGTTGTCAGAAGGGACCAGTCACTGGCAAAGGATATCATGCTTGGTAAAGTAGAGGGTTAGCAGAAAAGTGGAAGACCCTCAACAAGATGAATTGGCACAGGGGCTGCAATGATGGGCTCAAGCATTGCAAAGATTGTGAGGATGGCACAGGATTAAGAGTTGTTTCGTTCTGTTGCACGTAGGGTCTGTAGGAGTCAGAGCCAACTTGATGGCACGTAACAATTACTAATGATGTTGAATATCCTCATGTGCATATTTGCCATCCATGTATCTTCTTTGGTGAAGTGTCTATTCGAGTTTTTTTTCCCATTTTTAATTGAGTTGTTTGCTTTTTTACTGTTAAGTTGAAATTTTTATTCTGGGTGCATCTTTTGTTGGATGTGAGATTTGCTGATTTGTAGATACTTCTCCCAGTCATTGCTTGTCTTTTTTATTTTCTCTATGGTATCTTCTGCAGAACAAATGTTTTTAATTTTGGTGGAGTCCAATTTATCATTTTGTAGTTGTTGTTGTTTTATATATTGTACTTTTGGTGTCATGTCTAAGAACTCTTTGCCTAACCACAAGTAACAAAGGTTTTTCCTATGTTTTCTCTTAAATGATGTTTTCATTTAGAAATATGATTGATTTTGAGTTAATTCTTGTGTAAGCCATGAGGTTCTTTTGTATATGGATGTCCAGTTATTCCAACACCGTTTGTTGAAAAGACTATCTTTTCTCCATTAAATTGCCTTTGTATTTTGTCAAAAATCAATTAGCCCTATTTGTGTGGCTCTATTTCTGAGCTCTCTATTCTATTCCATTAATCTATTTGTCTGTTTTTATGCCAGTAGTACACTATATTGAAAATTGTAGCTTTAATTTTTTCAACATTGTTTTGGCTATTCTAGTTCTTTTACCTTTTTATACCAATTATAGAATTGTTTTGTCTACATCTACAGAAAAATTGGATTTCAATTTTAATGTAGCATTCTGGGATGACAATTCTTTTCTTTTAGCACTTTAAAAATGTTGAGCTACTTCTTTCTGGCCTTCATGGTTCTGATGATAAATTCACATTTACTAAATCATTGTCCCTATTTATGTAATGCTTTCAATTTTTTCTCTCTGTCTTTAGTTTTTAGCATTTTGATTATGATATGTCTTGGTCTGGAATGATTTGGATTTTATCCTATTTAGAGTTTTCTATACTTCTTCATTAAATAGATTTTAAATGTTTCATCCAACTTGGGAAGTTTTAAAGCATTGTTATTTCAAGTATTTTTTTCTGCACTGAACTCTTATTCTTGGGCTTTGATTCCACAAATAGTTGACCTTTTATTTATTGTCCCACAGGTCCCCAAGGCTCTGTTTATTAAAAAAAGTATTTCTCTCTCATTCAGATTAATTTCTGTTAATGTATCTTCAAGTTTATTGACTTTTTCTGTCATCTTCATTCTGCTGTAAAATTTTAATTTTCATTATTTTTCAATTCTAAAATTTCAATTTGATTCCTCTTTATGTCTTCTGTTTCTATGCTTAGATTATCTTTCCATTTGTTTCAAGAGTGTTCACCCTTACTTACTTCATAGAGCTTTTTTTTTTAATATATAATAGCTACTTTAATGTCTTTGTTAGATATTTGAGTCATCTTGGCATTGGTATCTATTGGTTGTCATGTCAGTTGAAATTTCCCATGTTCTTCATTGTTGGTGTTGTTATGTGCCATTGAGTCGGACCCAATTCATAGCAACCCCTCCTTGGGTTTCTGAGGCATAAACCTTGTAATTTTGGATTGTATCCTGGAGATTTTTTATTTTATTTACTTTTTTTGAACTGAATTTCATGTGACAAAATTAACTATTTTCCAGGGAAAAATTCAGTTCCACTGAGTTCACAAGGTTGTACAACCACCATCTCTGTCAAGATCTAAAACATTTTCATCAGCTCAAAATGAAACTCCTTAGAACAATCAGCCATTTGAGGTCAAAAGAGCAGCTTTTGCCCAAGAATAAAGCTCAGAAGGCAAGAAAGGATAGGAAGGAAGGACAAATGGAAATAGGAAACAGAGGGAGGAAATGGGAATAATGATGTTACATTGTGAGGGTTGCAAAGCAGTGTCAGTAAACAATGTGTATAAATTGCTGAATGAAAAACCATTTAGCTCTGTAAACTTTCACTCAAATCACAATATAAAGTTTTTAAAAAACAGGCAAAGGACTTGAATAAATATTTCTCCAGAAAAGATATACAAATAGCCCATAATCACATAATGAGATGCTCACCATCATTAGCCATTCACACACTCACTCACTGTTGTTGAGTAGATTCAACTCATAGTGACCCCTCCTTGGGTTTCCGAGGCAGTATCTGTATGGAAGTAGATTGCCCAACCTTCCTTCTGAAGAGTGGCTGGTGGGTTTGAACTGCCAGCCTTCTGGTTAGCAGTCAGATGCCTTAGGCACTACGACACAGAGCTCCCTCATTAGCCATTAGAGAAATGCTAATCTAAACCACAGTGAGACACCACTTCATATATCCACTTGTATGGCTAGAACAAAAAGTCATATAATAACAGGTGTTGGCAAGGGTGTAGAAAATCAAAACCTCATACAATACTGGTGGGAATATAAACGGTGTGACCGTTGTGGAAAACAGGTTGATAATTCCTCAAAAAGTTTAACATAGAATACCTTATGACCCATCAATTTCACTCCTGAATACGTACCCAAAGTAATTGAAAGTGGAGATTCAAACAGATACTTGTATACCGTTTGCAGCATTATTTACAAAGAGTCAAAATGTGGAAATAACCCATGTCCATCAACAGATGTTGGGTAAACAAAATGTGGTTTATACATGTTGTTGTTATATTATATTATATTATACATTATGTATATAATTTTAATAATTATACATTATGTATATTATACATATGTATATAATATATACATATATTATACATGTTATATTATATTATACATGCTGTTGAGTTGGACCTGAGTCATAGCGACCTCTCCTTGGGTTTCTGAGGCAGTATAAGTTCAGAAGTAGATTGCCCTACCTTCCTTCCGAGGAGTGGCTGGACTATTATTCAGCTATAAGAGAAATGAATTTCTGATACTTACTACAGCATGGATGAACCTTGAAAATGTTATATAAAATAATCCAAGCACAGAAGGGAAAATATTGTGTGGTTCTACTTACATGAAATATGTAGAATGGTAAAATGCATAGAGACCAATGTAGATTAGTGGTTATCAGGGGCTAGAGGGAGAAGGAATAGGGAGTTACTGCTTAATAGGTACTGAGTTTCTGTATGTTGTTGTTGTTGTTATGGGCCGTCGAGTCGGACCCGACCCATAGCGACCCCTCCTTGGGTTTCCGAGGCAGTATCACTACAGAAGTAGATTGCCCCATCTTCCTTCCAAGGAGTGGCTGGTGGGTTTGAACCGCTAGCCTTCTGGTTAGCAGTCAAGTGCCTTAGCCACTATGCTACCAGAGCTCCGTATAGGGTGATGAAAAAGTTTTGAAAGTAGATAATGGTGATGGTTGTCTAACATTTTGAATGTAATTAATGTCACTGAACTGTTAAAATGGCAAGTTTTATGTTGTATATTTTACCACAATAAAATTTTTTTGAAAAAAAGTCATACAGGTTCACCTTACCTTCTTGGGATCACAGCTCCTCTGATTGGAGAGGGAGTTTTACCTCTTAGAGGTACCAGGAGTTTTCCCTTCCTGGAGAGGAAGTGTTTCGGGGACTTACAGATCCTACTGATACCACTATTATTACTATAGCTACTACTCCATGATAGCTTGAGCACAAAAGTATGTAAACAATGGGGAGAAAAAAGAAAATGGGGCTGCCTCCCATCCCTTCTGTCATGTCATGTGAGAGGTTCTTCTTCTTATTTTTTGTGCCAAAACTTGAGAGTTTCTCCTGGAGTTTTCTTTGTACCCTGGTGCCCACTTCTAGTTTGGGGGATACTTTAAGTTCAGGCCAAGGGACACTAGAATAAAAACGGGAAGCTCATTAACAGTTTGATGGTGCTCAGATTTTGATTGTCTTCTCCAGTCCAGCTGCTGCTCTTTAATTTTTTAGAGTACTCAGATCTGCTCCAGGGATTCTATCCAGGTTTTAAATCTGTATTCAGAGGGAGAGACAGGTAGATGCTTGCTCTATCATAGCTGGCGCTTGCTTCCTTTCTGTTTACTTTAAACTTTTCTAGAGTCTGACATTTCAGATTTCTTAAAACTTTAAAAACTACATATGTTCATTATAGAAAGTTTGGGAAATAAAGATAAAAGGAAGATAGCTAAAATCTTCAGTAAACTCATAGACTAAGGATAACTTTTTTTTTTTTTTTGTATTTTTGGTATATGGTTCTTTTTATTGCATATATATATATATTTTTTTTTTTTCTATTTTAACAAGGAAAAGCCATTAAGTAATAAATAAAATCATGATGTTAATTATTTTAACCAGTCTTAAGACCCAGTTACTACTGATTTGATCTAATGTTATTTTTACTAAACTTTTTCTTTGTATCAATAGGTAGAAAGTCTTTATCCTCAAACTGGCTGGGTGGAAGTTGATCCTGATGTTCTCTGGGTTCAGTTTGTTGCTGTAATAAAAGAAACTGTCAAAGGTAATTGGATTTATAAAAATAAAAATAGCCCCTAAAGTATATTTTGTTTGCAGTGGTCCTCAGTCTTCTATACTGTTTTGAGGTTTTCCTAATTTATACATATAATACATATCCTCTGGTTTAAGTTTTTTTTTCCCCCCTCCTAGCTGCAGTATAAAGACTCAGCCTTCTTCATTCTAGGTTCTAACAAGTACTGATTTGGTTTCCTGTTGTGTACAAAATAGCAGAAGGCTATAAACAAAGTTACAATGCACAATTCCTCATCTCCTGAGTTTACAACTGAGTTACCTTCATTGTAAAAGAAGTTTCTGTTTTGTTTTGTTTTCTGTGTGGGCACTGGATGTGAAATGCTGTCCTGGCCAGCACAGTGGTCTAAAATTGAAAGGATGTTTTCAAAGATGACTTGCTGGATGTAAATTCTAAAAAAACTTTTACTTCTTTTCCTGACTGAATTGTCTCTTCTATTTTGTTTTGAAACATTTCAAAATCTATTTTTTAAAAGTTTTAAGAATTGTACAGTAAACACCTCTTCCTAGATTCAGATATATTTTTGCAATGTTTAGTTCACCATTCTCAACAAATTACTACCTTTTTTTTGGCTGAACCATTTGAGAGTTAGTTATAGACATTATAACCTTTACCCCTAAATACTTCAGCATTACTTAGAAAGGAAAAGGGTATTCCTACATAATCTCAATGCAATGATCATACTCAGAAAAATTAACATTAATACAATACTGTTCTCTAATATTAAGTCTTCAATATCCTCTTTTTGATTTCATTAATAACTGATTTTTTTTTTTCTTTTTAGATCCAGGATTGGATCAAAGATGAGGCATTGCATTTAGCTGTCAGTCTGCTTTGTCTCCCATAATCTAGAACATGTTCTTCATAACACTGACAGTTTTCAAAAGTACAGGCCAGATTAGAAGATTGTCCCTGAGTCTGGGCTTGTCACATTGCTTTTTCTGATTAGATTCAAGTTAAACATTTTTGGAAGGAGTGCTGTGCACATGATGATGTATGTGTCTGCCTCAGTGCTCACCCAAAGTAGTCCCAAATTCAACTGGTGAGAGAAACTGCTATTCAAAAGAATATAATAAAAAACCACTCAAATTGCAGTATTGTAAAAGAAATTTCTTTTTTTTTTTTTTTTGGAGGGGAGCAGGACATGCTTATATTTGCATTCTAGCATCAGTTTGTATGGAAGATCAGATCTCAGCTTCAGTAATTATGCTACTTCCTCTGGGAATTTTCCTTTATTGCCATCAACCAGCTTCTCCTGTGATTGATTGTTGCCTAAATTAGGATAGAATCTCTAGTATTATCTAGAACAAAATGTAGTCTGACTTATTTTCAATGGTATTTGCTTGTTATTTTCTCGTATTTCAAGAGAGAAGGCCATTTTATTATCATAGTATACGATCTCTTTTTTCTCTCGAATAATAGGTAAAAAAAAAAAAACCTACAAAATCATTTTTGGTGCTTTGTGAGGTCCAATTATTTATCAAAATGTTAAACCCAGATATTTTTTCTTAAAAGTTATATTGAATGATTTCTTTTCCACATTGTAACACTGTAAAGAAAAGTGTCACGTTTTCCCCATAAATTTTACTTACTTTATTGTTGTTTTGAGAAAATACACAGCAACCAAACCAAACCAAACTGATACCGAGTTGATTCCAGCTCATAGTGGCCCTCATTCGGTTTCCAAGGCTATAAATTTTTACAGAAGCAGACTGCCCCATCTTTCTTCCATGTGGAAGCTGGTGGGTTCAAACCACCAATCATTTGGTTAGTGGCCAAATGCCTTAACCACTACACCACCAGAGCTCCTTTTACAGAGCAAAGCATACACCAGTTCAGTAGTTCCCACATGTACAATTTAGTGATGCTGATTTCATTCTTCAAGGTGTGCAACCTTTCTCACCCATTGACATCAGCTCAATAAGGTTCCTATCTAATCTTTTGAGTTGCTGTAGTCAATTTGATCCCATATAGATAGTTCTTAAAAGAGTACAGTGCTATGCAACGCTAAAGAATAATGTAGAATCTGCAAAACACCGCATAACGTGGATGAACTTGGAGGACATTATGCTGAGCGAAATAAGT